TACACCTGCTCAAAGAAATCAGATGATTCACTACATTAATAAATCTTACCTAACTTGATCAGAAATCTAAAAAGGGGAGGAAAAAGATTAAGTCATCAGTAGCAACAGATAACAGTGCAATACTTATTCTTTATCCCAAACGCACCAGCTTAACAGTGTCATCGTGGTCTAGTGGTTAGCACGACGCGTTATGACGCTGCTGACCCAAGTTTGAACCTCATCTGAATAAATTATTATCTGTATTTTTTTTTTTTTCAATTTTAGTGTTAGGACATGTAATACCTTTTGGGTTACTTATGTAAGCATGAAAGCATAAGGTTGCTTTCCTGAACACTTTTCTGAAAAGAAAGTTTTAATATTGTTAAAACCATAATACTTCCGCTTCCCGAAGTTTAATCACAAGTCATTTCAAGTGAGGGAGGCATTAATACAGTTGTTCGTTATGCACATTTCAATAAGCCATAGTATTTTAAAATAAAAATGAACAATTCATTTTATCTGAAAGGAGGCATGCTGCACAAACATCCTGATAACCATCCCGTGTCTTTTAAAAACACTTCCCGAAGTGGAAGTGATTTTAACAATAAACTTTATTTTCAGAAAACTATTCAGCAATGCAAATAATGCATTTATCCTCAATTATGTTGTTCCATATAAACGGCTTTAATGAGGAAAATATGTCTTAACGTTATTACAAGAAAATGTCTTTTATACCATTATTATGTGGGAAAAATAATAGCCTATAGTAGGCGAGAAGGTCAGTATTGCGTCACTGTGAATGAGTCGGCCTGTCTGGTTTCAGAATATAAACAAAACAAGCCTTTATTCGTTTTTGTTTTCTGGTGATTTTACTTTTGTTATTGGAAATCACAAATCATTTTTGAATTTTGCTTTTCCGCTTTTCACCATGAAAAAGAAAAAAAGCAGTTGTTTTGATTTTCGTCTTAAAGTTCAAAAACAAAAATCAAAAAAAACGCTTTGAATTTCAATTTTTTTTTTTTTTTTTTTTAATAAAAATCCAAAAACGACTCGTTTTTTGTTTGTCCAATATCCGTTTCTCAAATGAAAATCCAATGACCAAAGCATACACAATCATGGTATCTTCCGTTTAATACCCTGATTATACACTGACCGATGTCCCATTCCTGAACAAACTGCTTGAAAAAGCTCAGTTACAGCACATTATACAGTATATTAAATATTAAATGCAGCATTTATTGTAAGTAATGGTATTGTAACAAAGGAAACAGTTGTTTGTTTGATTACTTGTTACTGACAAAAGTAACTTTGTTAGTAGCAGTGTTTATTTATAATGTTGTTATTCCCATCACTTGTGTTAATTCATTTCAGGGGGATTTAAACGTTTTGTCATCGTTTTTTTTTTTTTTCTCATCCAGGCCTACCCAGAGTATCTCATCACCTATCAGATAATGAAGCCGGACAGCACGCCTCAGTCCTCCACAGGAGCGGAGCAGAAATCATAGTCAGCAACACTGCATTCACTCACTCACTCATTGACTCACTCACTCATTCTTTCTCACTCTCTCGTTGCACAAAGGAAATGTGAACTTTCCCATGTACCCACGTCTTACCCATGAAATTCCCCATGTATGAATTATGAATTTGCACTTTTAAAAGAAACAAAACAAGTTACTTAAGTTATTTGAAAATAGTCGCAATTGTGAAGTCTAATGTACAGGTAGTATAAAGAAAACGTGTAAAACTGACTGTGTTTAACGATGCTATTTGAGTTGTATTTTAATGGAACTTTGTTTTTTTGCTTTTTGTTTTGGAGTCTGTTAAATTTCTTTTAAATAAATCTCATCAGAACAGGACTCATTCATAGGACTTGCCTTTTATTGGTAATTCATTGTAGCGAATTAGCTCAAAGTTAAACTGCCCATGCGTTCTCCACCATTAATACTGTTGCGAATTAGCTCAAAAAGAAGAAGATTCATTTGAACGGGGCTTCAAAGGAATCGACTCTTTAAATCCGAATAAACAAATCGTCCAGCGATCGTTCGAACAGACAGTTGACTTTAATTACGAAATGAAATGAAAATCAAAATGAAAACCCATTTATGTTTACACTGGGTAGCATGATCAAAGTTTAAGACATCGCTGGACGATCGCACTCTATAACATCAGAAAGATCCGACCCTTCTTATCTGAACATGCAGCTCAACTCCTTGTTCAAGCTCTTGTTCTCTCCAAACTGGATTACTGCAACTCTCTACTAGCTGGGCTTCCAGCTAACTCTATCAAGCCTCTTCAACTGCTCCAGAACGCAGCAGCACGAGTGGTCTTCAATGAACCTAAACGAGCACATGTCACTCCGCTGCTAGTCCGTTTGCACTGGCTGCCAGTTGCTGCTCGCATCAAATTCAAAGCTCTGATGTTTGCCTACAAAGCGACTTCTGGCTTTGCTCCTTCTTATCTGCTCTCACTTCTGCAGATCTATGTGCCCTCCAGAAACTTGCGTTCTGTGAATGAACGTCGCCTCGTGGTTCGATCCCAAAGAGGGAAGAAATCACTTTTGCGAACGCTCGCGCTCAATCTGCCCAGTTGGTGAAATGAACTCCCTAACTGCATCAGAACAGCAGAGTCACTCGCTACTTTCAAGAAACGACTAAAAACTCAACTATTTAGTCTCCACTACACTTCCTAATCTGCAATTGCCTCTCTGAATATCACACTAACTGTACCAAAAAAAAAAAAAATACTAATACTACTAATACTTTCCTTCTTAGACTTTACAGACCTGAAACTTGCCTGTAGCACTTATTCATTGTTGCTCTTAGTTGTGAAAATTGCTTCCTTGTCCTCATTTGTAAGTCGCTTTGGATAAAAGCGTCTGCTAAATGACTAAATGTAAATGTAAATGACATTCGATTCATAAATATGCACAGGCACCTTTCTTTATACAAAATGAAACTATTGACTATCTAACACAAACATGCATTCATACAGGTGTAGAGAAGAGTAAAGAAAGTAAAATAACAAGTTGAGAGAATGTAATGATGGAAAACCTCGGATATTGTAAGACCAAACCAAGCGAACCAAAATTTATAAATTTAACCCTTCTATGGTCGCTTTAGAGTTGCATTTTGTTCACACCAGTTCAGATGGAAGTGTTACATGTGTTCCGATCTGATGTGAAGAAGCTCCCTCTGTTGAGCATGTGGCTGGCTGGTTGTTCTTTGTCCTCACGAGGCTTGGAGTGGGTTGGAGTCGGTCGTCTCAAGTTTGAATCGGCAACATTTGTGATGACTACTGGTTTGCGGCGCACTAAACTTAACTAGACTCTGGATGGAAAATAAAGAAAAGAAGGTATCAGAGATGGGAATGTCTGAGCCGTGCGATTAAACCATTTCGTCTGGGTCCCCGCCTGCTCCCTGGAGTCCTCTGGGTTCAAGCCTTTCTCTGGCCTGAGGTTTCTGGGTCTCTGGGGTTTCTGCTTTCTTGTGGGTTTCATCAGTCCTCGTCACTACCGGTGTGCCCCAGGGTTCAGTTTTGGGTCCGCTTCTATTCATCATCTATCTTCTTCCACTTGGTTATATTTAGCTGTTATTCTCACCAAGGCTGCAGCTATTTCATTGCTGTAAAACGGTCATATTTTGCATTATTATTATGGTTTAAAGAGTCGACGTGATCACAAAACTGAATTTTCATATTCTTTCACGCTTATTTTCAGTTCTTTTTTCCAAAATTTTAAACCATGCTTTGGAGATTATTATATAATATAAATATATAAATAGCCAATAGAGAAAGATCCAAATTTAAATAATAGCTATAAAGACCCAATTTATACTGTGGAAAATGCTATATATATATATATATATATATATATATATATATATATATATATATATATTTATACAACAGTTCTGTCTGGTTCTCAAATCTGATTGGCTGATGGCCGTGCGATATTCTGCAATATCAGAACTCCTACAGCCTCTTTACCCTTTGTGTATTACTCCGCCGACATTCAGCCAGCAAAAAGCAGACACTACAGACATAAAATGTAAAAGATGCACGCTCATTAAATATTATTTCTATTTTTAGTTACATTTATTTATTTTATATTTATTTGTTTATTATCGTTATTATTTACGTATTTCCATGAACTCGATAGGGTTTCTGTGCCTCCTGGACCCCAAACCCCTGTGTGTGTGTATGTATATATGTATATATTTATATGTATATGTATATGTGTGTGTGTGTAAATATATATATATATTTTTTTTTAATCATTTTATTTTAAAGTATATATTAATATTTTAAGATTTTTTTTCTACTGTTAATGTATTTACACATTCATTAATTTTAATTTATATTTAATCCAAATTCAGACAGACATTTAGATTTATTATTGTTATTATTATTAATGATGCTTGATTTGGTTTATTTTAGTTTTTGTTTACTTTATTAATTGAATATTATTTCTGTTTTTATTAGCATTTATCTATTTTAGTTTTTATTTATTTATTATTATAATTTTTTTTTTTTTTTTACTTTAAACATTTTCACAGACCTCCTAGGCTTTCTGTGCCTCCTGGACCCCAAACCCCTGTATATATATTATTCTAATTTTTTTTATCATTTCATTTTAAAGTATATATTAATATTTCTAAGATTTATTTTCTTCTGTTAATGTATTTACACGTTCATTAATTTTAATTTATATTTAATCCAAATTCATATGAATAATTATTTTAATGCAGTTTTTATTTGTATTTTTTTTTCAAACTAATGTTTATTTATTTATTTTAATAAAATGCTTGTTTTTTTTTGTTTACTTTATTAATTAAATATGTATATTTATTTACATTTGTTTATTTTATATTTATTAATTATGCTTCATTTGTTTTATTTTAGTTTTTGTTTGCTTTAATAATTGAATATTATTTCTGTTTTTATTAACATTTCTTAATTTAAGTTTATATTTATTTATTTATTATTATTATTAATAATAATAATAATAATTTATTTGATTTAATTTTTACTTTAAATATTTTCACAGACCCCCTAGGCTTTCTGTGCCTCCCGGACCCCAAACCCCTGCTCTAAATGATAAGACAGAAACTTGATTACTAATATTTAATATTTCCATGATTTTTTCACTCAACACCAGTCCAAACATTAGTTTGAGAACAAAAAAAGCATACATTTAAAATATTATAAAAACATTAAACAATCTATTAAATTCAAGTTTGATTCACAATCAAGTCATGTTTTATGTGATAGCTGAAAGTGTTGATTGGGCTCCAGAAAGATGCTCCTCATCCAACAGCAATGGCTGTGGTTTGGGGTCTGGCTGTCGGGGAGACTGTGGTGGGACTCGGTACTCTGTCCACTACGATAATAGGGGGTTGCACTGCCACAGATGGCCTGAAGGGGAATAAGCGTGGACCAGGGTGTGGATATCGATGTAGATATGGATATCGATGTAGATGTGAATGCAAATATGGGGGTAGATAGGGATGTGGATACCGAAATGGGTAGAAACCAGGTGAATATGGGCGTATGATACTTGGAGAAATGTTGGGCGTAAGTTGCATTCCAGGAAACTGATCCGTAGGCATGAGGAAAACAAATGGAAAGCCTGATTGACCTGGACGCATTGGTTGATATAAGTCCTGAAAACACAATATATTGACTGATTAACAGAGTTGAGGTAAACCAATGTATATTTTACATATAGGTGTATATAAAGTGTATTAAATTAAATTTGCCTATTTTTTCACACTCAGGCAAAACAAGATATCATGCGTAGGAAAAGAAAACTCCACTGGCTTTCATTTTAAAAACCAAAATGTACTAAGCAAGTAAATTTTTTCATCACTGATCAGAATATTTTTTGTGTTCAACAGTAGAAAGAAATGTAAACAGGTTTGGAACTAGTGGAGGGTGAGTAAATGATGACAGAATTTTAATTTTTAGGTCAATTATTACTTCAACAAAACCATATTAACTGTTTATTATAGCTAATCAAGACAAATCCTTCTTGAAATCACAGAAACCAGACATTAGTGCTAATGGTTTCCATTGCAATTACCATTCCAACTGCACAATCAAATCTGAGCCATCAAAACCAATAGATTTTACATACTTCCCTGTTCAAATAGTTGGGTTAAAAATACTCCAACATAAAACCCAACTATAGGTTATTATAACACCTTCCCAACTATGGGTTATTTTAACCCAAAGGGATTAGGTTATATAATTAAACCAAATGCATTAGGTCATTTTGAATAAAGGTTATTTTTTCCGTTCTGGTACTATCGCTACTATGACTAGTACTACTAATAATTTTATAATTATGGCTGTGTAAATAAATAACATGCAGTTTTTAAAAATATTGAAAAGGCTTTATTTCCATTACATTTTAGTTCAAGATACTTGAGGGTTTTTATCCGTTTAATATAGATCGGCTATGAAGCGTGCGCTTGCATCATCAGTAATAAGAGTGCTGGTGAAATAAATAGAAAAAACACGACACAGAGAGGTCATTGGATAAAAAAATAACAATATTTTCGCGTTATAGCTTAATAATTTTATAATGCAAAAACAACATTACGTATGAATGTTAATGCAGCTGTTCTGTATAAGTAAAGTTTGTTGAAATGTAAAGTTTGTAACCCAACTGGTTGAGTTATTAAACAAATAATCTAATAAAGGTAAAAAAACAACAACAACAAAGCACCAAATATTTTTAACTCAACCATTGGGTTAAAAAAAAACTCCGTTTTTTTATAGTGTGTTTTGGCCAGCCTGATCTCACAAGAAATCGTAAATAATTTACGTTTTGTCAGTTTAGTGGCTAATATGTACGAATCTGTACGAGTTTAGTCGTACAAAATTGTACGATTTTAAAAAGGAGGCGTGGCACCTAACCCCACCCCTAAACTCAAACGTCATTGGGGGATGAGCAAATCGTACTAAATTGTATGAATTAGATTGAATTCATACGGATTAGCCACTAAGTACAAAAGTTACGAATTGCCATGAGATTGCATTGGTTTTGGCACACATCCCTGTTTAAAAAAAAATCTGCTTAAACTAGCCTATAAGCTGGTTGGCTGGTTTTAGCCAGTCAAGGGGTTTTGGGAGCCTTTAAACAAAGGAGCCTTGTTTAAGCTGGACATAGCTGGTTTTGGATATGCACCCAGCCTAGCTATGCTGGTCAAGCTAGTTGGTCATTTCCCAGCCTGACCAGCTAAAACCAGGCTGAAATGGCCAAAACCACTCTAAAAACAGGCTGGTCGACTAGCTAAAACCAGCCTATGCTGGTTTAAGAATTCTTTTTTCCAGCAGGAATTCTATTAAGATCAGTTGGTTACATGCCACTAATAGCAAAAAAACAAAAACAACAAATACATTGGTTCAATTAAAACACCATTTCAATGTCTTTTTTTTACCTCAGCAGGGATGACAGAGGTGAGAAACATCATCTAATCATAGCAACATTTTTGGACAGTCTTTAAATCACAAGCGTTGAGGTAATTAAACCACATTTATTAAAAGTTTGACTACGAAGTAGTTGGCTAGAATTTATGGAGGCATGTGACTAGCATAATTCATTTCGAAATGTAATATGCAAAATGGCAATGCAATGTGTTAAATGGTGATGTATTCCTGCATTTCAATTTGCATTTTCCAAGACATATCTGCAATGTTTGGTGCAGAATTAAAATTCAACTACATCGTTTGGATTTCTCATTTCAAACACGGTTTTAATATGGAAATTGTCAAATTTAACAGACAGCCTATGAGGTGAGGTGTCGATTATAAAGCGATTTATACATAAAAATGATTCTTTGATAATATTTATTTCCTTTGCATTTTCCCTGAACAAGCCTAGATTTGGAAGTGATTACCTCTATACTCATATCTCTAGTCCTCCTGCTCCTGGTTTCCTCCACCTATATAAAAACAGACATAATCCATTCAGTCTTATATACGTTATTTTTGCGTTATATAATATTTTATTAACTCACTGGAACAGCCAGATTGAGACAGACTGCAGTCAGGAGATAGTAAACGAAGGTTAAAGTTGCCATAGCTGATTCTGCCCTGCAAAATTTGATCCGTGACCCCGAAGGCAAGTAAACATATAAATGTTTTCAGATATAGATTACTATTTTCACTTACCTGTTTCTCGTTTTCACATCCCAACAACTTCTGCTGTTAATACTATGCTATTCCACAAGCTTTAGTTTTTATACGACAACCTTTTGTCATTCACCCAATAAAACTTGTGGTAATTGCCCATAATTGCATGCTGTGGATTTGATAATTTGGCTTTTAATCTTTTAAATCGCTCTAGATGGTTTTAAATTAATTAAAGAGTTTGAGAGCTGGAGAAATCCCTCGCCACACTGATCTGTGACACCTCCCTCAAGTATCTGCAACATTTCACAATCATGTTTTGATGAACAAACTTTGTATAAGGCTTAGCAGATTGAATATTGTACAAAACAGAGTGATATATCTATACAAAACGCTCAAAAATGGCTTAAAATAACATGTTTATGGGTGTATTTTCTACAAAAACCGCTTATTATCAAACCGCGACGCCATTATATTTTCCTTAAAGGGGCAGTTCACCTCAAAATACGAAATCTGTCATAAATTACTCCTACATACCTGTTTGAGGTTACTATAACACAGATTAAGATATACTTGAAGTTATATATAATAAATGAAGATACATTAATATCGACTTCCATAATAAATGTATCCTGTGAATATCAATAGGTGCATTTTCCCGCCATTTTGTCAGAATATCTTGTTTCCTTGTTAACAGAAGAAATAAATTCCTAAATGTGTACAACCAAGTGAGTGTGTGTAAGTAAATAACAAGGAAACTTTAATTTCTGGGTGAATTATCACTTTAAAGAGCATCAAAACCTAATAAAATAGCTATTATTAACCGATGATCATGTTTAATGTTTGATTTCAGGTGTGTTTCCAGGGTGTTTTCCTCTAATTCTCCTCCCACAGTGAGTCAGTCATCTTGTTTGTGTGTCGTTTATATCTCTGCTCAATATATCTAAAGGACAAGACACTTGCGTAACATACCGAGACATGTAGTATTGCGCTACACACACATTGCATCATGTAATAATGATATTAAAACACATTTGGAAACCCATAACCGGGGTTTAATTATAAGGTATAGCAGTTTTTAGTGGTAAATGTGTTTAATATTGAGACATTCTGCAATTTTAGGGGACATTTGAAAAACAAACAGCACCGCTGATTGGATGAATCCCAATTTCTACAATGCTCAAAGGCCTTAAAAGCATCTTCAGCACCATCAATACACAAATCTTAGGGAGCTTCGCTTCAGCTTTTTACAAGAGATTTTGAGGTAAGGTATTCATCATTTTTCTATGCATGTTATTATAATGTTGCTGATCACATTGGGAAAAATAAAATGTATTTAACAATATATTTAATTGGCATTTGAGGTCAAAATATTAATGCAAAATGTGGTGTTTTGTTTGTTAAATAGCTTCTGTATTTAAAGGCTTTCGCATGCATGATATCAATATTATATTGCAGACGATAGTTTGATAATCAGATGGAAACATTCAATAAATTAATAAAAAATATGTATTAATCAGGCCAATTACAAATAAAATTTATTAAATAAATACTTTTAATAAAAAGGAAAATAATAAATCAATAATAATGTAAATAAATAAAGGTGCTTTTTTAATAGCACCTTTGGATTTAGAAATTATTTTTGCATTATCAATATATATACAGCTGAAGTCAGAATAATTAGCTCCGCTTTAAATTTCTTTTTTTAAATATTTCCCAAATGATGTTTAACAGAGCAAGGAAATTTTCACAGTATGTCTGATAATATTTTTTCTTCTGGAAAAAGTCTTAATTGATTTATTTCAGCTAGAATAAAAGCAGTTTAAATTTTTTAAAATACATTTTAAGGTCAATATTATTAGCCCTTTTAAGCTATAAAATTTTTTTATATAGTCTACAGAACAAACCATCGTTATACAATAACTTGCCTAATTACCCTAATCTGCCTAGTTAACCTAGTTATGCCTTTAAATGTCACTTTAAGCTGTATAGAAGTGTCTTGAAAAATATCTAGTAAAATAATATTTACTGTCATCATGACAAAGATAAAATAAATCAGTTATTAGAGATGAGTTATTAAAACTATTATGTTTAAATGTGTTGAAAAAAATGCTCTCCGTTAAACAGAAATTGGGGAAATAAATAAACGGGGCTAATATTTATGACTTCAACTGTATATATATTTTTACAACAGTTCTGTCTGGTTCTAGAATCTGATTAGGCTGATAGCCTTTGATGTTCTGCAATAACAGCAGAACAAAAATTAAAACCCTTGTGTATTACTCCACCCACATAGAGTGACAGCAGATCAATAGACTCACTACAGATGGACAAACCTTGCAGCTGTTGGACAACATCATGTACTTTTTAAGTAGTAAAAAGTAGTTGCTTTTTAAAGCAAGAATGTAGTTGTTTAGATTGTAACTATGCAGTTTATATCCAAGGACAGTTTATAAGGGTAGTGTTAGCCTATTTTAAATATTTATACTTGAATAAGCTGGTATTAATGTAAATTGCATGCTTTTTATTTGCATTTCAAGTTTTTCATATGCATATTCATTGCAGATATACTTGCATCATGAAGATAACAGTGCTGTTATTAAGCAACTTATTGTTGATAACTGCGGCACCAGTAAGTGTATATTTGATTACGTGCATATTCAGCATACAGGAATGCTTATAATGGGTTTTAAAGAGCATGTGTTTGTCTCACAGGTGGATCAACACCATGAGATAGAAGCCAGATCTGCCAGTGAAGAGGACGGACAGGGGGTGAGTGTTTATTTGTGCATACATTTGACTTCATAACCCTGAAATTGATCATGTGCAAATGAAATAATGAAAACACTGTAAAACCGAACAGTCAAATTAATTAAAATAGACGTATTACGCAAAAATTACTTTTATAAGGGTTTAAACACAGTTGTGTGGCAACAGTGTGTGAATATAACCAACCTCTAATAGTAAAAAAATCAATAAATGTATTTTTTATAATCACACTCAATAAAAACTGCAGAAACACTTTGATTGACATTCTCTCCTTGTCCGTGTCATCAGAGGGGGAAAGCCCCACCCATTAGTGACAGTCTCTTCTTCATTAGCATAAACAGCCCTGAGTGAGAAGCAACTGTCTGTCATTAGAGTTTTCACCATACGTGCTGAAAATAAGAGCTGCGTCTTAAATGGCGCACTTGTCATACCTGTCAACATTAAGGGAAAATAAGGGGTATGCCCAACCCCCTCACACTCTCCTTCTTTACAAAAATCCCCAAATTATTCATTTGGAGCTGTTTCATTGTAAATAAACAGTTAAATGCTCAGTAATATGTTTCATTTTTATTATTTATTCATTTTTTATATATACTATGGCAAACAGTTTATAATGAAATAGAATCAAGCTATCAAATCTCATTAGCTGTTTCTTCACTGTATATCTCTCACATTTTGATTAAAGAGCAACGAATGAATCTCTTATTTATTTAGATTATTTTTTTTTGCGTGATTACATTAAATAACAGGTGTCAGTTTAAAAATGTACACATCTAATGTTATAATGAAAGCATTTGACTGCTTTCCTAACTGTTTATGCTCATTTAAGATGAAATTATTTGTGTTTGGGAAAAAAAAACACCATGATCGACATTATTTCGACATATTAAAAGCCAGACTTTTGCTCCGCTTCAAATTGTGTGTACAGAATCCGTTTGGGAAACAGCGTCTATTTAACACTATGGAGCGCGTCAGCTGACAGGCATGCACCATTATATATGAGTATATGATGAATTACATATTATTATTATATATGAATTACATATATATGATACTATTTTAGTCAGGCTACGCTGATGTTAGATTGTGTTCTGTTATGAATGACTTATATGCACAGACGTGTTGTTTAGCCACTGAAATCTCCCGGTGAAAGATTGATGTGATTATTTTCAGTTTCATAAGGTCCTTTTACAGCATCTATAATATAGATTTATATTTAGTTTAACAACAAAACATCAGTAAATAGCGCTATTCCGCCTAACCTGCTTTATTGAGCTGAAGCTGCTTTTATATTCATATTGGGTCATTTTTGAACAATGACAGCCTTCCTCTACTGTTTACCATGCTACTCTGAATATTCGCTCTGCAGTAGCATGTAAGTGTGGATAAGTAATATGCAATTCCTGCACGGCGCTGGCTAAACACTAACTAACTGGCGAATGACATGAACCAGTGGGTTGTCTGTCTGCTGTTGTGACGCGGTGCACGCGCTCGCGATTTCAGGGGGTGTGGCTTTGAATCAAAGTCCCTAAGCGGTTAGCATTTTGGCAGATCACCTACTGTACCTTTAATCTTATAAAACATCTGAGTCAAAACGCTTAAAACTCTAATGTGGAAGTGAGAAATAAGGCATGAATATTTACAGTGGCGCATAAATAACAATGTTACTTTCGTACCCACAGGAACTCTTGCCATTTAAACCTGATTCACTTTTAAACTGAAAAACTTTACATTAGTGTGACAAGTGAAAAGAGAAACACAACTTGTAATAAGGAAAAAACAGCTACAATAATTTACTTTTTGCACTTAAAAACTGAAATTCTGACCTAATCAGCTGATCTTTGGCAGCTTCATCAAGAGTTGAATGCAGAATGTGCTGTTATAGCCTGCAAATAAAAAAATAACCTAATACAGGGATTCCCAAACTTTTTTATTCCGGGACCCACCTAGGCAAGTAATTCAATCTCAATACCCACCATAATATTTTAATATGGAGAAATGGGTAAAAAAAAATGTATCCATTCAAAGCAGTCAAAAATATATGGTGTGTGGCTTTTTGGATTTTGCGATTTGATATGCACAAGATGAGGCTCAAAGTGCTTTTTGTGGGATGCTGGCTGTAACTGTGATCATTTTTTTGTTGAAAAAGATACTCTTCTTTTTTTCAGAAGAGAATATGATGATCAAGCCCTGTCACATCGCAGTAAATTCCACTCCTGGTGTATAGTCATAAGAAACTAAATCGCTTTTTGATCGAGTACTACAAGCTGGGAAAACGTCAGATAAATATGCCAATGCAATTAATATTATAGTTGAATACATCTAATATTTACACACTTGCTTGAGGAAGGAATGATGGGGGTAGTTACATTACTATTACTATTTTCCATAACATCTATGCCCTTCCATAACATTAGGTGACGTTAAAACTAACAGATAGGACTATAGCTATTTATTGATTAGCAATCTGTCAACAAAATATTGGACAACAAATAGCTTCAAATGATAGAATACATAGCAAACATTAGAAAATATTGACAATAAAAAAAAGTTTAGCCTATTAAAATCAATAGCCTATACATAAATTAAATAAAGCTTTAAAATCTATTTTACTTTTAATTGTATTTGCATATTGATTAAAGCTACTTTATTTATTTAGTGAAGAGCAGCAAATGAATCTCTCATTGTGTTTGGCTTGATAACAGGTGTTAATGTAAGAATGCACAGATCTATAATGAAGCATTCCACTACTTTAGTAACTGTTTGTGCTCATTTAAGAGAAAATTAGTTGTGTTTAAAATAAAGCACGCATGACGGAGCAAAAAAAAGAAAAGAAAAAAGAAGCACTTTTCCGACGGTCCCTTACTGAGAGCTCCGCTCAGCGCAAGCTCTGCCGGCTAATCGCAGATTGCGAGGGCTCAAACGGAGCAGTGCTTGTAATGTCAAGCTAAAAAAAGGAAAAGACAGCTGTGAAACATAACCAGCTTTGTCTTTTTGTAGGAAACACACTTTAGATCTTTTTAGGGTAAGAGGTTTTTGAGTTATTGCCATCAATCGTACTGGTTTTGATTCACCGCAATGTCAATATAGCTGCAGTTATGTGACGTTGCGCGACCCACCTTTGTTCACTGTGCGACCCACTAGTGGGTCGCGACCCACAGTTTGAAAACCTCTGACCTAATTAACCTAGTTAAGCCTTTAAATGTCACTTTAAGCTGTATAGAAGTGTGTTGAAAAATATCTAGTCAAATATTATTTACTGTCATCATGGCAAAGATAAAATAAATCAGTTATTAGGGATGAGTTATTAAAACTATTATGTTTGATGATATCTTCTCTCCGTTAAACAGAAATTGGTGTAAAAGAATAAACAAGGGGGCGAATAATTTTGACTAACTGTATTTGGACTTCAAATGTATGTTAAGCTACTTTGACAGAATCTACATTGTAAAAGCACTCTAGAAAGGAATATGAATTGACTCGAATGCATTCCCTTTTCCCTCTATAGGCATTGCAAGCCTTGCTAACTGAGATGAGAGACACTCTAGCGAACGTCAACAAACCTCCAATCACTAACCCGACCACAAAACCAACAGGTCTGCAAGAGCTTCCTCCGCAGGTCCAGACTTCATACGTGCTCAATCCTCTACCGTTCAACCCAAGCCCTCCTGCAGACCCCAAACCAGCCCCGCAGGCCCCCGTCCCACAGATTAACCTCTTTATCTCTGGTGCTCCCCAGCAGGACAGACCGGCGGCTGCAGAAACTCCCAAACCAGCGCCTCTGCAGCAGTTAATGCTTGCTAATGCAGAGCCAGTCCCCGCCATCCAAAACCCAGCTCAGGTCATGACTCTTCCAGCCCAATATGGCCCCGTCCTGCCCCAGAATGCAATGGTTATGCCAGCTAATAATCTTCCTCAGGCATATCCAAATATAGGGCGTCCTCTTCAGAGTTCTGCATTACTCGGTCCTCATGTCAGCCCATATTTTCAGCCTTTCAACTTTCAGCACTTAAATCCTCTCCTGGGTTCTCAAGGTTTTGGTTCGTACCCTTTTTATCCTCCACCGACGTATTATCATCATCATCATCACAATCCCTACTTCCCAAACTACGGCATGCCTAATGTGGCCATTACACCTCCTATTATATTTCGGGAGCGTGGGCAGCCTGCTACCACACAGGGGTAGTTTTTTAAACCCCGATTCAAAATATTAAAGGTGCTTTATTAGCGTTGATGCTTCAGTATAGATTAGGCAAGGGCTGGAATAAGATTCTGACGGTATGATAACCTTGAATTAAAATATCACTGTTTCACGATTTTGTGATTACTGCCCTAAAATAGATTCTTTTTAAGTGTCTGGATAAAAAACAACTACTTTTTTTCTCCTTTGAACACATTATATTTTATTTTTTAGAGACATTTATAATATTTTGGAGCAGTAAACATGCCAGGCTAATTAATTAAGATGAATCATTGACTTCTGCTGTCATCATTAGTTTCAAAAACACTGATTTCTTTACAGTTTAATTTGGATATCTTTTCTGCTGCAAATACTGTTGTCCTAAAAAATTTATTAAAAAATCTTACACGTACGTTGCGAACAGTATAGGAGAAAATTTTGGCAGTTTTAAAACCTTGACTTTTCCAAACCGCGGTATACCTTAAAAACGGTTATCGTGGGGAGTATGGTCTGGTCCAAAAACAAATAAATAAAAGATTCTTTATTTAAAAAATATATATTTTTAAAACAAGATGATAGACAACTAAATAAATTTTTAAAATGTGTTTTAAATATTCTCTTTTTTTTGTTGTTGTTGTTTTTAGATTTTTAGCATTGATGCTTCAGTGGAGATTATGTTCTTTGGTTCTTTTCGTATTTTTGGTTCTTCCCAACACCTTTATGCTCTTTTATCAAAATTTATGCAAGTATTATTTTGTATTCTTTTATTTAGTTCAATTGTATCAACAAATCTTTTAAATCTATGTCATTTTCTGTTTCATTTTCTGTTGTGAACTTTGCATGAAATGTGCTGCAGTATAAAAATATTTCAGCCTGGCCTCTCCATGTAATGTTTGCCAATATAAAACTCAATAAAAATGAAATTAAATTAATTTAAAAGTCTTTGAAATCCCTTTTTTTCATCCTAAAATTGTTTTAATTATGCATAATATGTTTTACTTGTGCATAAAACAGATCCTAAAATATCACAATTTCTTGTATAAACAACCTATTTAAATGAATATTTAGAAAATATTTGTGTTCTTATTAATTTGTTTTTTTGCTTTGCTTTCCCCTCCATTCAATTATTATAATCAAAAAAGTTATTTATTTATTTATTTGAATTTATTTAATTTCGTTTTTTTAAGTAATTTTTTGGATAATTTTGTACATTCATTCATTCATTTTTCTATGGCTTAGTCTCTATTTCAGAGCTCGCCACCGTGGAATGAATCAACAACTATTCCAGCATATGTTTTACACTGCAGATGCCCTTCTAGCCGCAAGCCAGTATTGGAAAACACCCATACACTCGCATTCACACACACACTCATACACTACGGCCAATTTTATTCATTCGTTCATTTTCTTTTCGGCTTAGTCCTTTTATTAGTCTGGGGTCGCCACAGTGGAATGAACCGCCAACTTATCCACCACGTATTTTTCGCAGCGGATGCCCTTCTAGCTGCAACCCATTACTGGGAAACATCTACATACTCATTCACACTCATTCACTACGGACAATTTAGCCTATCCAATTCACCTGTACCGCATGTTTTTAGACTTGTGGGGGAAACCGGAGCACCCTGAGGAAACTCATCCGAACATGGGGAGAGAACATGCAAATTCCACACAGAAATGCCAACTGACCCAGCCGGGACTCGAACCAGCAATCTTCTTCCTGTGAGGTGACAGTGCTAACCACTGAGCCACCTTGCCACCCTAATTTTGTACATTCATTAATTCATTCGTTTTATTTTTAGCTTAGTCCCTTTATTAATCTGGGGTCACCACAGCAGAATGAACTGCTAACTATTCCAGCATATGTTTTACACAGCAGATGCCACGCAATCCAGAACTGGGATACACCCATACACTCTCAATCACATGCACACACACACACACACCCAATATTGTACTTTTACATCTTAATTATAATTATATTTAATTTATATTCTTTATATAAAACATTATGACACTGTTGTCAGATAAACTTATTATATATATAATGAATATAGGCTAAAAACATGTAATATTCCTGCTAAAAAATCCAGTTTAAACCAGCCTAGGCTTTCCCAGCTGAAAAAACAGCATAGGCTGGTTGGCTGGTTGACCAGCCTGGTTTTAGAGGGGGTTTGGCCATTTCCAGGCTGGTTTCCAACCTGGTCTTAGCTGGTCAGGCTGGAAAATGACCAGCTTGACCAGCCTGGTTTAAGATGGACACAGCTGGTTTTAGCTGGGCTCCAGCCTGGTTAGGCTGGTCAAGCTGGTTTTAGCTGGTCATCTCCCAGCCTGACCAGCTAAGACCAGGCTAGAAACCAGCCTGGAAATGGCCAAAACCCCTCTAAAACCAGGCTGGTCAACCAGCCAACCAGCCTATGCTGTTTTTTTCAGCTGGGAAAGGTTTATTTGACAACCGTGTACCTATGACTCGAGTCTGCATTTAGTAAAAAAGAAAGAAAATAAAAAGAAAAGCAGTACTAGCATTAAACAACTAAAAAATAAAGGAATAAAAATGAATAATGTGCTTGAGAAAAGAGTAATTTTCATGTTTAGACCAGCAGGCTGCGACATCATTCAGCTCAGCTGCGATAACCATAAGTCGCCAGTCGATGACGTCAGTGCACCGACTTTCCGAAGAAAGCTGAATAGATGCTTTACATGAGCACAGAAGTTAGTGAAAATACGTTTAATGTTTCCAAATGCGATTTCCGGACCTCGAAAGTCTAATTATTATATCTGTAAGACATGTATATTGATTGTTTATAAGTGACGTCGGCAGCATGTGCAAATGTAAACTCAGTTCATTGACATGGACCGTATTTATGACAGTCCTGATGATAAAACAGCAGCAGTCTGTAATTTCTTCATCTGTGGAGGTTCGAGTGAATGTTGACAAACCACTACGAAAACTGGAGCACTTTTGGAGAAGCACTGGATTCTGGTAAGATGTGTAACTGGGCCATTCTTCAACTAAGGGCACTACTAACGTTAGCCTTGTGAAGTTGAGTTTTTTTTACTTGTTCAAAATTAACGTAACATAGCCTTATAAGTTTAAACAGTTTGTCTAATTTTAAGATCTGTAAGAGGACAGACTTAGATAAAAAGAGAAACATTTTTCCATCGTGAACTGAACAAATGTCAATTCATCTCAATATACAGCTTTTATTAAATATCAAATAAATTATGGCAGTCAAACATTAAGATCATTTTTGTATCTAATTTAAACAAATCTTTCCACAATTTATATAATAATTATTCATTTGTCAATGAAATAAATGAGCTGTATGCTGAATTGTACACCTGTCACACTCGACAGTTTGGGAAAGAGCTTATTAGAAAATAAATAAACTGAATTTGTATATTAAATAAAGCATGAACATATACATTGTGAATACACTTTTAATGTGTCACAAGAACTTTTTAAATGTTTCTTTAAATAGTGTGTGGTGGTGGAAATGACATTTCAACAGCTTATTGTGAAAAAATGAAAAATAGCTTCACAGATTATCTTTGAATTGATACAAGCCTTTTATGTACAAAACTCTCTTATTTAACTGAATTTTGTTTGGTTTTTAATAACATCTTTGAAGGTACAACATGTTTGGAAATTAAGTAGAATAAATGTATTTCCTTATCAAGCAATCTTTACCTTGATTTTTCTTCAAGTGTTTTTGATCAAAATTTAAATGTCCTCCATCTTTATGTTCTTAGATGGCACTATTCATTTTCATAGAAACCACCTAAATAATCTTTCACACAAACTTTTTAAAGTGACATTACAGTGTTGTGGTGAAATGACACTGATACCTCTCACAGTGACCTCATGTTACATGACGTTCATCAGCTTACCTATTCAAACCAAAAGAACAAAATTGCTTAGGAAAAAGTAAAAAAAACAACAACAACTTTCAACTATCAAATAACTTTTATGATTCATATTACCGTTTTTAGCAATGCCTAATCAATATTTACATCTTAAAATCTCAAAATTGGTTGATGGATTTCATGACTGTTTAATAAACTTTTATTACTGCAATTTTAGGATGATCCTAACAATGATTACGTACTCAAATATCACATTGTTTACGCGTGTATTCCAAAAGCACACAGTACTATAGGAGATACTAGGATGAAGTTCATTCGTTCATTCATTCATTTTCTTGTCAGCTTAGTCCCTTTATTAATCCGAGGTCGCCACAGTGGAATGAACCACCAACTTATCCAGCAAGTTTTTACGCAGCGGATGCCCTTCCAGCCACAACCCATCTTTGGGAAATAGGATGAAGTTACCTAGTTCAAAAGAATAGTTTACCCAAAAATAAATATTGTCATCATTTACTACTTTATCATTTACCTGTTTGAGTTTTTTTTTTCTTCTGTTAAACACAAAAGGAGATATTTTGAAAAATGCTGAAAGGCAGCAGGCATTTGTTTTTCCTAATATGGATGTCAATGGTAACCAGTTTCCAACATTCTTCAAAATATCTTCTATAAAGAAACTCATAAATATTTAGAACGACTGGAGAGTGTTTTTTGGGTGACTAATAAATAGCATTACCTGTTAAATCTGCTCATGTTTGTGTCCTGTTTTTGCAGTCCTCCGCAGCCGCACACGGATGCACACCTGTATGATCTCAGTCCAGACCAGCAGATGAATCTGGCCTTGATCGGCTCAGTGCCACACAGAGGAATCCAGCAAGTGCGAATACACTGGATGCTGGAGCTGGTGTCTGCACGGTCAGTTACACCAGACTGATTCTGAATTTGAATAAATAAAATGTTATACATTTTACGTACTTGCTATAATATAAAATATGTGTGGCATATAATATAATAATACATAGATAATAAAGGTCCCGTGAAGTGCCGTTATAGGCTCATCTTTGCTTGCTAAGTCTGTGCAAACATGCAAGGATGTGTTTTTTTTTCGTGGTTCTGAGCTGGTACAGGAGCTCAGGGTACAGATACATATCAACACAAGGGGGCAGAAAAACATTTAAATAATTGGAAAACAAAATAAACAAGACAAATATGTATCCTGAAAGTATTTATATAAAGTTATTAAGGAAATAAAAATATTTATATTAAGGTATTTGCTAATAAGTGGCTTGTTATATTGAGATTTAAATAGTAAGCTTCATTTCAATGGTTGATTACATTTACATTTGTGCATTTAAGACCCCTCAGAAAACAAGCTCATGTACATGCATAGATGCATAAAATCTAAACCCGATACACACAGTACAGACCATTATTAAACCTGACAGGGCACACCTGGGAAGTGAAGACCATTTCATGTGACTACCTCTTGAAGCTCATATAGAGAATGCCAAGAGTGTGCAAAGCAGCAATCAAAGCAAAAGCTGGCTACTTTGAAGAACCTAGAATATGACATATTTTCAGTTGTTTCACACTTTTTTGTTATGTATATAATTCCACATGTGTTCATTCATAGTTTTGATGCCTTTAGTGTGAATCTACAGTTTTCATAGTCATGAAAATAAAGAAAACCTTTTGAAT